AGTATGATAATATGTGGTTGAAATATTTCTTGCTAGATTTTTGGCACTGGTTTGCTCACTACCAGATTCACCTTGCAGCTGCAATGACAAACTTTCGAGAAAAGAAGATGTCCTACATTATGTACTCTAACACTACTCTAACATTGGTAAATTGCAAAAAATCTTGCAATCGCAAGCCTTTGCATAAGATACAATTCCTGCAGGTTAGCCGAACAACACCTTATTCTACATAGCTATTAGTATAATATATTATTTCAAACCAGGTTACTCTCCATTCCCAGGCCCTTCCCTTTCTTCACAAACATAATTTCTGAAAATTTAACATTTTGATTGTTAAACCAGGATTGGTAAAATTTTACGACTTAATCCCCGGTTAGAAGAATAGTATTTCTTATTCTTTGCTAGATTTATTTACCATTTTCTCACTATGAATATAATTTCTAATACTTCTGACATCACAAATTTGAGCAAAAACCAAAAAATTGTCTAACAAGTCAGTGTCCAAATTAGGCCTATATCCTATCATTATAATGGCATCATTAGTTTTATAATCAAAATTTGTTTCTCAAATTCATTTGATTGCCTTTTATGTAAATTTTGTGCTTAATTTAATATTTGTGACATTAGAATCTTCATATCAAACTTTTGGGAAAACATTGTTACAAAACCCAAAGCTAGTGCATTTTGGAGGGCCTAAAAAGATATCCTAGTTTTAGATATTTGAAAAGTCTATGAAGGTCAAATTTTATCAGTAAAACATATTTTCGATAATGTCTACTCCATGATAAGGTTCCAGTGCTATCTAAGCCGCTATGTTTTGATGTTTTCTTTTGTGAAAAATGTTTAATGGGTAGTGTCTTGTTTTTCACAGGAAGTGCAATCTTTTGCTGTATAACTATAAGGGAAAATGTGGTTTTCCAAAATGCTGAAATCAAAGAGGCTGCCTACGTGGAGATTTTAAAATAAGGAAATTGTAAAGCCTGATCAATGGCATTTATTTCCCTGTATCGAGTAAGTCAGCACCTCTTTTGGGAATCGTCTTTTTCGCCATCTTTATCTTAATTTATTTGTACATAGAAGTGCCAGTAAGGCTCGCATGATACAACTAATTCAATTACTAGCATGCAAAGACATTTGCAATATAACATGATTAAAGAGACAGCGTTTTGACTTGCTTCTTAAAATCCTGGAAAGACATTTCATTTGCTCGAAAGAAAAATAATTCTCAATAAGGCATTAGTCTTGTGGAATACGTGGAAAACAGAAAATATGCTTTGTCGCGCACACTCTACAATTTCCTTTATTTGTAATGTCTGCACGCAGGCTATGAAAGAAGTTTTTTTAGCTATCAAAAGGTTCGAGTCAATGATCTGATCAAAATATAGGAAAAAAGGACACCCTTGACTCATCAAATGTCACCTTTTGCAGTCCCATATTATCATTACCGGAAGAGAAATTTATTGCAAATCAATTCCTCTGCATTTTCAGGGGCATAATTTTCTCTTGGTCTCAATGTATCAATTTTTATGATAATTAACCTTCAATCCTAAAGCTATGTCTTCCGCTTGCGATTTATCATTGTTTTTGAATGCCATTGAATTTGTATATGAACATCCAACTAACGCAATTTTGCATGCCATTTATGCCTATTGTAACAGTTTAAACCGGTTTAAATAGACTTTTTAAAAAACTTATAATAGTTTTGAACAAATCAAGTACGCTATAAACGAGTACCTTCCATCAAACGTATTTCCTGAACGCTTTGTTCGAACATTTCCGGAAATAGACACGGCGATACATTTATTCGAAAGTACGTTATAAAAATGTCATACTGAATTTAAAAAATAAAACTGGAATAAAAATAACGGCTTTTCAAGAAAATGTTGAAGCATTTTAACGCAGCTATTATAGTTTAACATGCTTTTTATGCTTCCACTAGTGACAAATCTTTGAAAAGTTTATTAAAAGCTGTTTGCAGCGCGTCATAAATCACGGCTAATTAAGTAGCTTGTTGGTTATATGTAATTAATAGTACGTGCTTTTCTTACATGAGTGTAACGTTGCCAATGGAGATATCGGTTCAAGTTTGTCATGCAAGGCTTCTTTAATTGCCGCTTCGATCATTGTTTTTGCTATTTGACGGAAATTCTTGACTCTAAACATGAATTTGCTTGTAAACATTCGCACTACGTTGCACGGTTTAGCAGAAAAACGAAATCTTTATATTTTTCATAGTATGACACGCTCTCCAGTTTATCAGACATCTTTCACTGAGGTTAACTAACAGTATTGATTGATTCCTCTTTTCTCTGTCGTAGATCGCCAAAAATGGTTTGTGCTGATCGTTTTTGAACAACCCAAATGAGTTGATGCCATGGTAACAGCGGTGAACCGATTTATGTTTTTGATGCAAGCAATTAAAACCTTAAGGCTAGTCAACAGCTACTTCATATGGTGCCATTAAAAGAGGGAAAAGACACAAGGGCATCGAGTTACCTATTTAAATGGCACTTACAATATATTTAATCATTTTCTCTGAAGCGAACAAAGAGACAAGGAGCTAACCAAAAAAATTATAACGATAAAAACAAATATGGGGTAGCTGCATTCAGTCAAATTGTTTTGTTTCTTTAAAAAAGGATATTGTAGCTTCTATAATTATCCTGTTGGCAAATTCATTCCACATTCCGTTTTATGTTCCCAACTAGAGACGATGGCTTTTCGGTCACTCATGGGGCGATATCCTGGTGATTGTGACGCTGTAATGCAGCTACCCTGGGTGCCAGAGACACAATTCAGTTTTAAAAATTTTGGCTCTGGTGTCAGAAATATCTATCTGAGTGTAGCCACCATACCACAACTTATCGATGGCTTTCCATGCTTTGGTACCCAGGGTATGATGTAACACAGGGCTACATAGTCTTGGCTAGAGATGCCAAGTTCAAAAAACATGAATCGACAAATAGATGTCAACAGATAGAGAAATTGCTTTGTAATGATGCTGTTATTTAATTCTTAAACAGAGCTGAATCATAGTATGAATAGGGGTCTTTAGGTTGCTGTCCTTTTCCTTCAATAATTCAACGGTCGTTGAAAGGTGATTTTGTGTTTTTATACAGAAATGGAATCCATTGTTTCTAGAAGATTTACATTTGTAGTTAAATTTTATTTGAATGATTTTGATTTCACTTGAATTTTCTTAATAAGCTACTTTTTGCTTCTGGAAGAAACAAAAGGCAAGTTGATTTTCAGCTTTGACGTGAATGGTAAAAAGAATACTAAAAATCTTCCTTTCTCTTTTGATCTATTTTTACTTTTATGTGCATTGCATAAAACTAGCTCACATGGTTATGGCAACGTTCATATTTGATCATGTATTTACCAGCTCTCCAAGGAATTTGGCACCTCTCATAAAGTTAGTTAATTAAGTAGTATTTATCAGCTTTACAAACATACCAATGCCGTTGCTAACGGTGATTGCAATTCGAATATATCATTCAGTGCCTTGTTTATAGCCGCTTCGATTCTAAATTTCAATTTCTTGTAAAAATGCTCACTCCATTTACAGTTATTATCGATTTAGAAATAGTTCGATTTCTAGCTCGCATCGCAGCTCTTTCTGGCATGTTATAGGCAAAATAGTGTCTCACTTATCTCAAAAACGTTTTATTGCAAAAGATACGAAGAATGGGTGTGGCAAGCGTTAACAAAGAACCAAGAACAAAATATTTTGAAGAAAAAACTTTCGTCTGTAGCAAAAATGTTGTTATGTCCTTTGCTCCCTATATTTTGTTTATCTTATCCTTGCATGTATTCAATATTGTAAGAAAGTACCAAAGGTGTAGATGTTCCCATTAGCTCCAAATATAGATTTATAGATAATAGTGAAAATAATGAATGCAAATGAAAAATGAAAGATAGCAATTATATATAAAGGCTCGTAGGGCAGAATGGCACAACACAAACATTGTGAAAATATCAAGCTATATACAAATTTTCAATAACAGCTAACAAGCAACAATATTACATGATATACATTTGATATAACTTTATAAACATTAATGTATAGTTTAGTATAATATACATTTAATAAAAATGTTATGTTAACATTATGATATTATGCAGCTCTTCCAAAACGATCCCCAATGTTCAATGCTAGCAATACAGTGTAGCTAGTTTTATCAGACTATCCTATTCTATACATTTCTGCTCAACAACTAGATGAACTTATTACATTCTGGAAATTCTGGAAAATTGCGATTGAATCACGCAATACATATAATTTCTATCCATGTTGTAAAAGGAAGAAAACCAGTAAAATGAGACTCATGCCCTACAGCATATTTGAAGAGAGAATGACGATAGAGTCATTTTCAATCAGCCCTTGTAATTGAATTCTTTCCAAATCTACTGGTTTGAATCACGAGGTAATGAGCATTGAGAAGTAGTTTGCAAAGTTGGAAAATTTCTTTATGCTGGGTAGAAAGTGCAAATAATGACACTATGAAGAGAATTGCAATTTTTCAGAAATCCCAGTCACGTCAAGTGAAAGGATCAGGAAATTGCTCGATAAGCAAGGTAATAAAGTACCCTAAAAACCACCTTAGGAGCTAGGTAGGTTTTTGAAAACAAATACATTGGACTTGCTACAAGTGACTCTTTTTCAAATGAGTATTTAAACGAGAGTGGCACGAGAGCAAATGATGGTTAAAGAACCATTGTCAGCAAAGTGAAAATGCAAAGAAAAGATTGATTCATCATATTTGGAAATATCGTAATATTTACTTCTGCTAATAACAAGAAAACAAATTTCCTCAAGAGTTTTGTTTACAAAGCTGCAACATAATAAGCTAATTCTGAAGAAACTTTTTGCTGAAGAAATAACTCATAGCAACCAACTGTATACACAAATTTCCTGTTTTCTTGGTTTCTTTGTTATTTTTGCCCGCTTTTACTATTTTCATCTCCCTTTAAAAGTCGGTGAACTACACAAAAAAATGGTAAACAAAAATCGGTATAAAAATAGGCACAAAAAGTGTTTCATTCAATTGCCAGTTTTTAGTCGAGAGAATTTTCTAAAGATGGCAGCTCTTTCTTGGCTTCTACTCAGCTTTTGTGCTGCTGCAGCTTTTTGCAGCGAACCCATGGAAAGTAAGTTTTATCCTAAATTTTTTTGGTGAGCTATCAATCTCTCACTGCTGATTTTCAAAAACTAAATTGCAGATGGATTTTATTGCAAGATGTGATTCAATCATCTCAGACATCAAACAACACAAGCTTTTATGAGCGACAACATAATTGACAATATTTTCAACAGCAGAATATAGACAGGCTAAAAAGTGACATAGATATACAAATGATGCTCGCCAATTTGTGTTTTAAGGCATTGCAAATTTTATGATTCACTGAGAAGATGAAGGAAAAGTCAGCATCTATATTAAGAAAATCTTTTTATGTTCTCATTAAACAGCACAAGAATCTATCTATGTGAGAAAATTTCTCATATTCTCTTATTTGCTCATATTCTCTTCAAATTTAGCCCACAAGACAATCTTGTTTACAATTTTCTTCGATAATATGTAAATGTTCATTTAATCATTATAGTGAAAAGGGGATTGATCAAAATATTCTTGTCAAAAATCTGTTTATTGAATCCATTTAATAAGCTTCGACATTAATAATGTCTCTAAGACTTTGTTGCTTGAACTGAGGTCATTCAAAATGCTTTTGTCGTTTCCAGATTCAGGCATGTTTGAAGGTGACATGATCCTTACTGAGGAGCAGAAGCAAGATTTCCTTTACGGTTCTCCCAACTACCAGATTCCACTTGCAGCCACAAAGACAAACTTGTGGCCTACCACGATTCCATACAGTATGGACTCTTCTATTGGTATGTTGTGCACCATGTTTGCAAATTCTTTTGACTTTATCTATAGCTTTTACTGTATAAGTACCTAATAAAAATTTTCATTATAAATTAGTTCCAATCTAATGCTCATTCGTCCATACAATCTTATCTAGCACACGTATTGTTGGCTCCCTAACAGTAAAATTTTTAAAGACCTGAAAGTTTCTTTTCACATCTTATGACGGTGATAGTTTCATAATTCTTAAAACGTGAAAACAATACTGTCATATATACTCTATAACTTTGAAAATAGCCAAAGTCCTTGTAGCAATTTTGTTTAGGGTAAATATGGATTCAATTGATAATTAAAACTATGTTTTTCCCATTTCATAGCTTCGTCGTCAACGGCTATGTCAGCAATCAACGCAGCAATTGCCGACTACCAGAGGCTAACCTGTTTGAGGTTCGTGAGAAGAACCAACGAACCTGGCTATCTCCACTTTTACAAGGGAGGAGGGTAAGAGTGGGTTTTTCATGATTTTGTTTTAAATTCGTCTAGCCTAAAGCACATCTCAGATCTTTTCTCCTACGATTCCTGCCCAATAATTCAATTGTAATCACTTCAATAATAGACACCAGTCATTCCAGTCAACACCAATCACCTCAATCAACACCAATCACTTCAATCAACACCAATCATTTCAATCGATACCAATCACCCCAGTCAACACCAATCATTTCAATCGAAACAATCACTTCAGAAAACACCAATAACTTCAATCGACACCAATAATTTCAATCAACACCAATCACTTCAATCGACACCAATCACTAAAATTTACACCAATCACTTTAATCGACACCAATCACTTCAATCTACAACAATCACTTCAATTGAAACCAATCTCTTCAGTAAACATCAATCACTTCAATCGACACCAACCACTTCAGTATACACTTATCACTTCAATCGTAACCAATCACTTCAGTCAACACCAATCACTTCAATCAACACGAATCACTTCTTTCAATTCCCTCATCATCATCATCATCATCATCATCATCATCATCATCATCATCATCATCATCATCATCATCATCATCATCATCATCATCATCATCATCATCATCATCAATTAAATTAACTAATAATTCTAGTAATACCAATAATTCAGTAAGGATACGCCATCGACATTCACCCAACACCCAGTATGAAGGTTTGTAACTCGTTGGAATTATGGAGACATTTAAGAAGTACACAAATAGAGACATATCAAGACTTCCATGCAATTTTTGAAAACAAAATTGTAAGGCAATAGGAGCAATGGGCTGGGAAAGGAGCAGCTAGAATTTAATACACGCTAATATGTACAATTGTGGGTATACTTCATAGTTTTTGTACGGTATCATGCATCTTCCCTACAATAAATCGAGAAGAAGGAGAGGTTATTACAGTGATACTGGCAAAAGGATGCTAAATACACGGTAAGTGATGTATATTTGCAAGTAAAACTGGGCATATAAATATATTGTCTCTTCGTAGATGCTCTTCGCCTGTTGGCTACTACCGCAGAGCAAACAGAATTTCTTTGGCTTCTGGATGTTGGTACAAAGGCATCGTTATGCATGAGATTGCACACAGTCTAGGGTTTTACCACGAGCAAAGTAGGCCAGACAGAGATAATTACGTCACTATTCTTTGGAACAACATTGCCAGTGGTATGAAATTTCTTAACATCTGGTCTATCTTACATTAGATATTTGTCCATTGTTAAAAATGCTAAATTCACTGTTAAGTGAGCTATCATATGATATTATTTGTGGTATTTGGCAGGAAAATGTGATAGATACGTATGCAGGAACGTCTTGCAGATGCCTGGTTTCTGTTAAAAGGTGAATTCGTATCACGCCCATTTCCGGCTGTATTTGTTGTGATTGAATCGATGCTATCATTTTTCTAATGAGAACAAAGCTTTCTGCAGTGTCCTATAAGGCAAAAATCGCTCTTGGGGGATGATTTCATATTTAAAAAAAATCAACATTATAGATAAAAGATAAACTTTTCGTTTTTCCACTCCTATTACTAATAATTTCAATTTTGGCAAGGAATGGAATACAACTTCAGAAAACAGTCATCCTCAAACATTGACAGCATGAACGTTCCTTATGACTACCTAAGTGTTATGCACTATGGTAAAACTGCATTTGGATCTGGCAAGATTACCATTCAGACCAAAGATGCCTCCAAGCAAAATTTGATTGGTAACAGACGAGGATTCAGTCAGTACGATGTCAAGCAGATGAATCTCCTCTACTGCTCAGGTCTGATATCTTTATTTACTATCAATCATACGCAAGTAATACTTTTTAAAAGGGCATTTGAAAAATCTACAAAGTACGACGGAAACGTCGTCTGTTTGCTAGATGATTGTAAAATCATTTACTGGTCTCAAATCTCTTTGAGGAACGCACTTTTCCGCAGTCGTTCTTGAATAGCACTTTCGACTTGCAAGGAGATAAACAATGCGGCATTATAATTCAAAGAATAGCCTATATTGGATCTCTCTTTCTAAAAAGTGTTTTTATCCATGATTCTAGATCCGATTTCAGCTCCGTACATGGGTATCCCCGGTATCGCTCCGAGAAGTGTCGCACCGAAATCGACATGACCTCTCCTTCAGAATGCCTATTAGTATCAGTTTTATTTAAATGAATGATACTGACACGGCACTCTCCTTGTCAAGCAAATTCTAATAGCAAAGTACAAATATCTTAATTGCCTGAGAAAGCTCAATATTTTCCCTTAATTATCTAGCTATCACCTTAAAATTTTAGGTGGAGGAGGTGCTACCACTCGAGCACCAGCAACTACACAATCCCCAGCAACTACATCAAGCAGTGGTATGTCTAGCATCTATTAGTGAACTTTCTAGATAATCTTCATTTTCATCGATGGAGCGGTTAATAGGCATTATTTATTGCTTAACTTTTTCATGAAAATATAAAATTTTGCTCCTCAAATTCGGCAACAACAAGGAACTTGTTATCAAGTTATTGTTAGCGGTAGCTCTTATTGGTCGATAAATTTTGGAAAAATTTTTCATTGTGTAAAACTTCATTCATTTTAAGTTAACAGAAGAGCCAAAAGTCAAGTGCTTGAAAGCATCTTGCTGTGTCAATAGAATATTGGAAAAACGACCTAGAATGTTTGAAAAGATTTCTAGGAGATTTGTAGTTAAATGAAATAATGGGGTTGAAGACTACAGGTCTTTCCTTCAAATCTAATCAAATGGTCATTTTCTTTTATAATTTAAAGTTAACAAATGAAGTTTTAATTTTCTAGGCTGCAAGGACAATTACATCAGTAGTTGTCCAGTATGGGGACGAAATGGATTATGTACCAATGACCGATACAAATCATGGATGGCAAGGAACTGCAAGCAGACATGTGGTCTTTGTGGTAATTAAGCATCTAATGGAGTTTGAGCGTAGTAAAATAATTTTCAAACAGATCTGTGCTAATCAAGATTTTATCAAGAGAATTTATTTTATATTATAAAGAAACAGTCATATAGATAGAATTTAAAATGAAGTGAAATGAAATAGGTTTATTAACTTGATCGCACATTTCCGGCTGGAGATAGCAAATGATAATTGTGATCATAAGTCGTTATATTGCCACAAGACCTTTGAATTTTCATCTTCAAGTTATTGTCCGCTTTCTACCTGCAATTAAAAACCTGTTTCTATTTCTTTTAGGAACTGCAACTACCGCTGCTCCTACCCAGCCACCAACAACTGCTGCATGTAAGATAAATTCGCTATACTGCAACAAGTAATAATTCAATCTAAATTCAATTCCTAATTGTCCGCGTAAACATGGTTTTGATAAATATACATACATATATACATAAACAGCTACTAACCGTACATAATTACATAAATTACATAAACATCTAAGACTAAATCGAATAACATGCCAATGTTTTGAATAAACATTTCTTGAGTGAATCTTTAATTCTAAAATTATAGCTTGCAGTGACAAGTACACTGGTTGTGTAAAATGGAAACAGGCTGGATATTGTACGGACAGCAGATACAAAAGATTTATGGAGATGAACTGCAAGAAAAGTTGTAACAAATGCGCAGGTTCATAACTTGCCTTTTAATCTAGTTTGGTTTATATTGTCAAAGAGTGCTCAAAGGCTCTTGAGCAACCGGAATGCAAAGTCGAAGCTGTCTTTATAAATTTGTTTGTTTTGTATGCAGTACGATGTTAGAGCTGTTTTGAAAATATAATCGCAAAGCATTCCGGTTGTGTAAGAATCTTGAAATTATTAACAAAGCCAAGGATTTCTAGTCAGGTTTGACCGTCTTTTTGTATGGGTTAAAAAAACAAGTTTATGGCAAGCGATACTTTTTTGTATGGTTTTAATATTTGCTGCTATTTTTATGATAATGGTCTTTTTTGGAATTCATTTGTTGCTATAGCTAACTTTCTTGTTATAAAGATATAGATTTAAAATGTCTTTTTTGGGGTGTTTTTCAAAGTGAATATCTATTAAATAACTGCACTAATGAAACAGATATGAAGTTTTAAGTGTTCCTGGTCGTAACAAATTACCATATTTTTTGCATTAAAAAAAAAGTAAAACATTTTCATCTTAGAAGACTACAGCTTTAGTACTTTTGTAAAACCTTTTAAATCTATTTTGTCAATCATTGATAATAATGGTAAGCAAAAAGCTAGTAAGTGTCTGCAATTTCTCTAACAATAAGAAAAATTTGAAAACCCTCCTTCTGATTAGAAATCGTGCTCGTAACCGACTTAGAAGATATTTTGTACGAGAAGGAGCTATGCTTTCAAATATAGAGTAGCAGTTCAAAATCAATCAAGTTATCTTTTAATGATGAAGCCATATTCGTGTTAAAGCGTGCAAAGACAAGTACAGCCAATGTGTTTCATGGAAGAGAGCTGGATATTGTACAAATGATATATACAAGACGTGGATGGGCAGAAACTGCATGAAATCGTGTGGAAAATGCGGTGGTAACTAAACATTCTCTGATTTCAACATTATTTTTTAATGTATTCAGGTTCATTGGAATATTACATTTTGGTATATTGGATCGGAAATTTGCATCATATAAACTTTTTCCAAAATATGCATTGCTAGCTCAACAGCCAAGTCTACTGGGATAGACCTTGAGACATAAAAAACATTTTGAGCTGTAAGGGAGGCCAAATGCTAAAATGAATTAATATACTTCATTAAAGACATCAGTCTTCTTTGCTTCTCAATTTTTCCCTAGTGAAATTAATTACCATAATATTATATCTGATCTTTATCATAAAAAATTGCAAAGATGATCACGTTCTGTTAGAAACAGGGGCTGTAATTTTCTGGAAATATTCTATTTCACAAACCTTCTTCTCACCAGATCTGTTTAAAGTAGAGCTATTTGCACTAATAAGCTATAGATTTCAAAGCAACCAGATTATTTTTGATTAACTTCATACAATTCCTTCATACCATCTTCCTCTTCATAAAAGCTCACTGAAACCAAAAGAACAATTGTCAATATCTATAAACTAAATAACCTTCAAAACTCTTTTCGCACAATTTGATTGCCAGTCTTTATGTCTATAAACCTCCTTGATCTTTCCTATTCCAAGGTGCCACAACAGCACCACCAACAACTGCAAGCACAGCGCCCCCAACAACCGCTCCAGGTAATCTAGTTTTCTCCGAAACCTTTAATGGATTTGTTTTCCTAGCAATCTTTAAAAACGATGCGTTCGTTATAAAGGGTTTGCACAAAAGAGACGGTAACAATAGTCTTTATTCTTAATGCTTTTTCTAGAGTCAGTCTTCTTTTCTCAATAATTGACATTAATGTTAAGTGAAAAGCTAGTAACTTTTTCTAGCAAATCTTTAAAATTTTTCTGTGATTAGAAATTGGGCTCGTAGCTAACTAAAAAGATATTTTGTATGAGATGGAGACTATGATTTCAAATTTCGAGTAACAGCTCAAAATTAACGAAGTTATCATTTAATGACGAAGTGTTAAAGCGTCGTAATGATGACGAAGTGACGAAGTTTAATGACAAAATTTGTGTTAAAGCGTGCAAAGACAAGTACGGCAACTGTGGTACATGGAAGAGAGCTGGATATTGTACAAATAAAAGATACAAGACGTGGATGGGCAGAAACTGCATGAAATCGTGTGGAAAATGCGGTGGTAACTAAACATTCTCTGATTTCAAAGTTATCTTTTTTCATGTACTCAGATTCATTGATATAACACACTTTGGTATATTGGATCGGAATTTGCATCATATAAACTTTGGAAAATATGCATCGCTAGCTCAACAGCCAAACAACCATCTGACACAAAGAAAACATTTTCAGCTGTAAGGGAAGACATGTGCTAAAACGAATTAATATGCTTTATTAAAGACATCAGTAATGGAGTTCTTCAAATTTGAAATGATAATTGTATTCTCAGTTCTTTCTCTAATGAAATTAAAAAGTGTGAAATTTTATCCTATCTTTATCAGAACAAAAAAATTGCAAAGATGATCACTTTCTGTTAGAAACTGGGGCTGTTCTTTTATGAAAATATTCTTCATAAACTAGGTTCTCATCAGTTCTGTTTAAATTGGAACTATTAGCACTATGGAGCTGCAGATTTCAAAGCAACCTTTCCTTATTAGAGTTGCAGATTTCAAAGCAACCTTTCCTTATTAGAGTATTTTGATCAACTTCATACAATTCCTTCATACCATTTTCTTGTTTATAATAGCACAGTAGAAATAATATTCAACTGCCAATTTCTTTCAGGTGGATCAGCTACAACAGCCACACCAACTAAAGGACCAACTCAAGGACCATCTCGAGGTATAATTGGTTAGCTTTTTGCATTGGGCGTTGCCATTGTTTACCATCACATTAATTTAATAAGTTTCTCTATCAAATAACTTCCACTAAATGATAGATGGTTCTAAACCTATTTGTAAACGACGTGCAGAAATATAGGCGTTGAACAAGAATTGGCTTAGAAACACAAGTGCCATGTGTTCCTTAGCATTATTATTGGATCACATTTTTAGAAGGAGCCCTGCGGAAAACTGAATTCATATCAACAGCAATTTGATATCTTGTTTTTACTTGTTGAATAAAAATCTGAACTTATGGCACTTTGCATGTATCATTAAAAAAGCGTTCTCTTGTCGTCTTAATTAAAAAAGGCCATGAAAACTTGACGAAGCTCAGATAAAATATTAAGTCTAAATTTTTCATTTTGAACCCCAAAGGATCTTGTGGTAAACCAGAAGTAGCACAGAGCAGGGTGATTGCTGGCATAAATGCAAACAAAGGATCATGGCCTTGGCAAATCCTCATGTTATATAATGGAAGGACAATGTGTGGTGGCTCTATAATTGCTCCACAATGGGTCGTTACTGCGGCTCACTGTGTATCTGGTCGGGAGTCCAGTGCGCGCTACTTCAAAGTCAGGTAAACAAAATGAAAGCGTTAAATAGGTTTGGTACTGATATTTGAAAGCAGGATGTCAAAGGTTTTTTGCTAAAGTTATATAATTAACAACCCTAACTTAAATATTGAGTCTTTTTCTAGTATCATAGTCTATAGACTATGCTAATATCAATTTGTATAATATGTGCGGGTATTAAGCATCTGAGAATCAATAACTCGATATCTGTTAATTTTTAAAAAAACGAGCAGTTTGCTAAATTATTTATGTAAATATTCGGTAGAGTTGGAGAGCATATTACGTCAACAACAAGCGATGGACAACACACCGATATGCAGGTTGAAAAAATCATTTCCCACCCAAGCTACTCAAGAAGCACAATCAATAACGATATTGCAGTGATGAAACTCTCCTCACCAATTAAATTTGGAAAATACGTGAAGCCAGTATGTTTGCCTGGACAAGACCAGAATGTCCCAGTTGGAACTGATTGTTTCATCACAGGTAAGATTCATTTATTGACCTCTTAAGTTCAGTGAGAAACTTAAATATAACATTATCTGGCGCTTAACGATAATACAAAGAGGAGCTATAAGAAAAGCCACTCCAGCAAAGCTCCGCTGTTGGAATGTTCACAAACCTTGCTCTGAAAGAACTTCTTTTTATGATGATGAACCTATTGCAAAATATCAAATACTGTATGTAGTCGATTTTGATTTGAATGGCTTTTACTTTCTCTAAGGATGGGGAAAAATACAGCATCCTGGCAACATGCACCACACTTTGCAGCAAGGAAAAATGCCTGTTGTTTCCAATCAAGCATGCACCAATCTCAACACAAAGAACTTGGGACTTGGGGTATGTTTGATTTTTCGTAGTATCACTCTATTTTTATGATGTTACGCGAAATTTTTATATAGCAGCGCTTGAACTAAGTTACTAGTGGCATACAATTGAAACCTCTATGATTCGTCTTATCCACAGATCACTGACAAGATGGTTTGTGCTGGTCACGGAGGAACAACTCGTGTGAGTGGATGCCATGGTGACAGCGGTGGACCATTTGTTTGCCAAACTGGAGCCAATGGCTCTTGGGTTCTCCATGGTGCTGTGAGCTGGGGATCTGGACGCTGTGATGCAACACAGGGCTATACTGTTTTTGCCAGGGTTGCAAAATTCAGAAGCTGGATCGATCAACAGATGTCAACATATTAAGAAACTGTTGTGCATTAGATTCTGTTAGCTACTTTTACCTATTTCAAGATGAACAGTCTTGACAGTGAACTTTTTTTCAAGTCATTCCTGTGTGTTTTCAAAAACCAGGAAAGATTTTTAATTAACTAATCTTAAAAATATGAGAAAACGAGGTAGAGATATTTCAGACTGAAACGATATCAATATCGAGGGTGTCCTTTTATCGTTTTAATTTCAAGATCATAAGCTTATTGCCAAAACAATTTTTAAATTTGAAGATATTCTCTACAGATATTATTGTGATCATAGAGCCTTGATGATCGAAATTATTAGGATTCGTTGAATTTATGTGATTCACTGATGTGATTAATGCAAACAATCTTTGGGTGGTACAAAATTTGAAAATAGCTTTGAAAAAAGCAACCATTTAGTAAACTTAAGCTTTTCGTCTGACACTCTTCAAAGTTTAAAACGTCAGAACATAGACCGAAAACTCTACGCTAGGAATTATATATACCCAGTTGTAGATCGAAATAGGCCAATCAGAAACACGAGCACATCAGTGGCGAAGCCAAAGGTCCTGCTGGTCCTGCTGAGCAGGACCAAGAATTTCCAAAGATAATATTTACTGTAAACAATAAACAATTTCTTCTTTGCAAAAAGGAAGTTTCAAATTCTTTTTGATAAACAGTCCCCAGTCCCGCCAGCTGATACAGGCATCCCGTGCTAATCTCAAGGTCCTGTTCTCTTCTACGGCAGCCCTGTATTTTGGTCCTGCTCATAACTATGATATCCTATGTTTGGTCCTGCTTCACAATGGGCTTTTGTGAATTTAGTCCTGCTTCACAATAGTCTAGAACAAAGAGCAGTCCTGCTCAATCTCGGGACCTCGTCGAAATGACCATCATAACATTTCGTAAGCAGTTGTGATTTGATTGGTCGAGGGTTCACCTACGTAGGTCAAAGAGCATTTTTTTGAAAACCTTTGGTCCTGCTATTTCTGAGAGCAGGACTGCAAGAATTGCCCTATGCATTCTCGTTCTGCTATGAGATACTAGCAAGGAGGCCAGTTCAAGTATTATGGCGAGGCGATGTGAATGCGGATTTTCTGCTTGCTTTGGCAATACCAATGATATTATTATTGACAGCAAAACTTGCCTCAGTTGAGCTGCATAAGTTTTATTTGTAACAAGACAGAGTCCGCAAGTTCGCAAGAAAGAAATGTAAACAACAAGAATTGGCTGTATGAGGCACTCTGATTTCGGCCTTTGTACGATCGTTTGAGGCACGGCATATCATGGTGGCCTAAATAAAATTTTCTTAGACTTGGACAAGGACGATGAAAGCATAATTGAATTTACTGTCGTGTGATTGAAAGTTTTGAGTTGGAGAATAAACCAATTTCAGCGGAATTTGCATTTTTCTACCTGAATTGTTTTCTCGTCTAATGGTTTATCTAATAAAGTTGTTTTCATTGATAGTGCGACACATTATTCGATTGTACCTTTATCAGCTGCAGAATAATTGTTCTGCAGAATATGTGAACTTGCCTCTACAGACTTTAAACTCTGTTGTTTATTAAAATTATTTTGATAGAGTGGTCAGGTTTATTAGACCAAAATCTGGAATACCACAAATATATGATATGCAACTTCAAATGCCACCCCTACCCCCTTTTATCGTCAAATTTAGTTATCACAAATTTGAACTTTTACTTCAGCTGTAGAGGCTTACTACAATTTAACATAGATTTGTTTGAAAAGTAAGCACCCTAAAGCACGCCTTTAAGTATGGGTTTATTTTTCAAAAGATAGACATCGATTTTAAATTTGCTTTTTACTGAATTTAAGAAAAAATTCATCTGCAAAATAGAATTTTTGTCCATGGGCTTTTCCAATTGAATAAGGGCGTGGCCCTGTCCATATAGCAGGACCAACAATTTTTGGCTAGCTTCGCCACTGGAGCACATGACTGTAAAGGTTGACCAACCAGTTCCACTTGTCTATTGGGAATGTTACCAATGGAGTCCTAAGGTGAAAACGAATTCATTTTGTCTACACAGTTGCGGTTTTTTCATGCTTATGTAGATAGATTCCAAAACTGCTAGGTGGAACGACGATCGGGTTTTAACGATAATCCGAAACATGTCGCCATTATAGTTTTTTGCACAATCTGGGTTTTCCAGTAAATGCTGCCCGATAGCAGAATCGCAGGTTTTAGTTGTACTTTTAGATCTGCAAGAGCGAGGTGGCTGTTCTCTTTGTGATTAAGGAATATGGATAGTTTACATAAATGTGATTAAGTGATGTGGTTAAGGATTATGTGGTTTGTTTATGTGTACATAAATGTGATGTGATTAAGGACTATGAACAGTTTACATAAAGGTAAATTACATCAAGCATATTCTTTAAAGCCACCAAACCATTTTAATGAATCAATTAGATCAGGCTCAAAGGGAAACATGGCTTGAAATTTTGTGTGCAGCATTTTGTTACAGCATTTTGTTGCAGCAACTTAGGCATCGAATGCGTATAGTTAGACCAAAAATGGGCTCCTTGGAAGATCAGCCTCTTTGTTAAAATTTAGTGAGATTTTGGTTGAGGACTAGGCTCAACCTTTTACATATTTGGTTGAATGCATTCTGCATTGGCAAACCTTTTAGTACGCTATTAATTTACCGTGAATTTGCAATTCCCTATTGATATTTTTGAGTCTGTAAGGAATTTGAATGATTCATTTGTCTTAGGTTAAGTCGTTGGCGCGGCTTTTAGAATCTGCTTGCAGGACAACTTCACTCTCAGATTTAAGGACAGCACCCTCTGGATATCTTTCTAATTTTTTTCCATGGCAGAGTCAACATTCGACGTACAGCTGGGTATGCAGTTTAGTACTCAGTCAAAATATATTATCTGATTTGGTGCAAAAACAGGCTTCCACATAAGGTAATACGTTAAAATCTAGAGCAAATTGAATCACCTTTGAGTTTTCTACTCAATATGCCATTACTAGCAAAATCGTTCGAAATCCTCATTGTATTGTTAGGTCTGTTAACACAAAATATTGCAACAATCGTGCAAAATATGATACCAGCATAAAAACTTCACAACTTATGTAACTTGAGGTGTAGAATAAAATGCAAAACAGACCCAAGCCGAAAAATGCCGCTAAAAGCTATTTTTAGAACATTTAACTGGGTCCCAGTCCTCCAAATAAAATAAGTCACTTGTGACCAATTTAACAAGTGTTTACCTGCAAAATTCGATATCCATATACAATCTAAAGTTTGAAATGTCATGCCAAGAAAAAAATGCCCATAAATTACCTTATTTTCTATTTTTAGAACATTGAACTTGTTCCCAGTCCTCAAAATGAAATAAGTCACTTTCAAGCGATATAACGAGTGTATGTCTGCAATATTTGATATTCATATACAATCTGAAGTGTAAAATGTCACGCCAAGCAATAAGGTCCATAAATTGCCCCATATTCTATTTTTAGAACATTGAACTTGATCCCAGTCCTCAAAATGAAAAATTATAAGTACCTCAGCCTAAATAAAGCCTTTGGTGAAGTTTTAAAACTAGGTCTACATTTCACTTTATCTAGCACTTCAGATTACGTCAAGAAACCAAGTTTCAGTTAGAATAGTTACAAACTTACAGTGCAAGACCCAATATAGGACTGGGTACAAGAACCATAGTTTAAAAATTGATTTTGTGAAATTTTTAAAGCTTTTTTGCATCCCATTTTATCCAGCACCTCAAATAACGCCAGAAAAAAGCTTCAGCTTTCTAACTTGCAATGTTAAGAAGGTTGCAGTCCTATACCAGATAGAGGACTGGGTACCAGTACCCCATTCCAGAAATAGCTTTTGGGGGCTTTTTTGAAGCTTGATATGAACTTCGTCTTATTCAGCATATCGGAATGAGTACTTGTACCATACTTCATGCTATTATCATATCATGCACAATTCTTCTGCTATGCGTCTGCACTATCTGGAAACTCGAGAAAGCAAGTTGTTTGACCAAACGAAAATTTTTCACAGCCATAACTTTTTCCGTATAGGTCAGATCACATTGCTCTTTTTAAATCTTTGGCTTAGTTTTGCATGTTCTTTCCGATAGTATCATCAGATTTGATTAATTCAAAAGTTGAATTTTTGCTGACCGTGCATTTCTCATGCTTCCAGAAACGCAACTTCCGGTCATTTGCCAGAATGTTCCCAGGACTTAAAATGATCAATGGCCTTTACTCTTATGATCTAAACTTTAAAAACTTCGGTTACCCAGTTTGCTAGATTGTTATGCAAAATTCCCTGTCTATGAATTATGATGCAAATCAAAAAAAGTTCATAATTACACCATTTTTTCCCATGCCTATTTTTGATAGTTTTTTATGATATGAACAGTTTGCAGCATTTGAAAATATCACATTTCTTTAGAAACATACGTATGGCACTCTGAATCAATGTGCAACTTTTGTAATTTATGTGTTTTGTAATTTATGGCTTAAATCACGCGCATTTTCCTTCACACACAAAATGCAGCAGAAACAATTAACCAAGAAATCGGCATCTTGAACGTACACGCAGAGGTCATTGCAATGGTGGTCTCCCTTTTTCGAGAGCCCGACATCGAGAAGTTGTAGATTGAGTTTGGTTTGGATGGATAAAAAGCGATGATTTCAAATACACACGTATGCTGCAAAATTTAATATAATTATTTGCAGTGGGTGACGTTGTTGGTATGCTTTCTGTGTAGCAAAAAGTTGGTTTAGGAAAATTTTAAATAGATTTATAGAATTATTGAAATATTGATTAGTTGGTCGAAAGAGTGATAAATAACTGCGTTTGTCATGTTTGTCTCAATATCTAATTAATATATAACAACCGGTAGCTTCTAGATTCTTGACTTTGTTGATATATAGGAAGAACAGACTAATTTTATTGACTAAACGATGTTACTGTGATTTTATCTTCACTCTTATACACCACACTTTTATACTGTACAAAACTCTTTTCTTTGAGGGTCCTTTTTGTCAATTTTTCCGAGATGCTAAAATGATACCATTTCCCAAAATTTTT